AGAGGCTGGTTAGTGCAATGGACGACTGGTGGTTAAAAAGTGTGAGGGGAGTCAGTGATTGGTCAGGAGAACAATGGGGAGGGAGGAGGAAGTATGGGCAACCACACTGGCACTTTAAAGTTCTACCTCCACCTCCATCTTTGAGGATTCAGAAACCGCCGTTGTCAATACAGACTGGTCTTCAAGATCTGTCACAGGCTTTGTAGTGGCTTTGGCGAGTTCGTCCTGATAGGTGTCAGGTTCATGAGTGGGCATGTCGGGTATGGAGTCCATCAGATCGACCGTTGTTGTTGGAGATGATTGTACTGGTGACTCGGGCTGCTCCGTCGCAGCTGGTGAAGTTCCTCGATGAGGTTCCTGAGCCAAATACTCTGGCAGCTTAGAGGACACCTCAAGGAAACCTTCTTCAAGAGCTTCGGCCTCCTTTTTCTTCTTACGAGATTCTTTTTTGCCTTTCTTATCTCTCTTTTTCTTGTTCTTTTTGCCTTTGCGATCTTTCTTGGGGCGTTTCTTTGGTTCCACAGGCTCGTCTCCCTGCATGATGTCATCGAGGTTATGGATGGGTTTGGCCTTTTATTGATGGGGCAAGGGGTCAGAGGTCGGGCATAGATGAACAGAATTAAAATTGTTAAAAGGATAAAAACAGTAGGACAACACAACTTGTAAATCATACTGACATGTATATGACTGGCTCGCTACATCTCTACTGAATCTAAAATTAAGGTGGTTGACTGATTCTGCTAGACAATGTATTATTCTCTTTGCAAATTAGGTCATAGTTCAACTTGTTCTCAATTCAGATATGCGCTACATTATCAGCCCACAATTCAAGGGGTCGGAGTTGAGCTGCTTACAGGCTATCATTAGAGGCCCTGACTGAATAGGCTTGATGAGGCCTGTCGGGGGGGGATTATATGAATAATGTGAGAACCAAACTGAGGTGTTGAGATGCCAAGTCGGGCAGGATAGAATGGGATCAGTGTGAGCTCTGGTAATAGGTTAGTAATGTGAGCAATGCTGATGAATCTCGCCATTAGTCCCTCTTCTCTCAGCTGTTGTGGGAACTGAAAGCCAGCTGGCTCTACCTCTGAACGGCTGCCGATAGACACTTTTCCTTGAGCCAACTTGGAGAGAGACATACGCAGACATTTACATTCAGCACACTTGCACAAAACTGGGCGTGGGAGCTGTGAGGAGAAATGAATGTACGATGACCTTAAGCGTTCCTCCCAGAAGGCCGCAGAGAAATGCTAACCCACTGACATGATTACTCACTGGGCTGACTCACCCGCACATGCACGTTCACAACAAACACAAATCATCACAATCGAAAAAACATGTTCAAAATGTTCACATAAAAAAATATCACAGTATGAAGAAAAATGTGGGCCAAACTGTTTATTTGAAAGACAAAGAAGTGTTCTTGCATCATGTAGAAAGCTTCTTGTTCCCTAGGCTGTGATTAGAAAATTAATTATGTGATTAGAAAAATTCTATCTTTGCTAAAAAGAATACAGAATGCTTTTGAGCCAATCACCTGAGCCATACATTTCATAGTATGAATATATACACTATTATTCAAAAGTTTGGGGTAAGTATGATTTTTGAAGAAGTCTCTTACATTTACCAAGGCTGCATTTCTTTATTCAAAAATGCAAAGAAAACAGTAATAATGTGAAATATCATTACAAATTAAAATTCCTATTTGAATATATTTTAAAATATAATTTATTCCTGTGATGTGAATTTTCAGCATCATTACTCCAGTC